AAGGAGGCTTGGTAGACCCCACAAAGTATATATATTCTTGATCAGCATGACAAGCCGAGTTCGTCTGTCTGTCTGTCTGTCCGTCTGTCTGTCTGTATGAACGCAAGGATCTCCGAAAGTATAAGAGCTAGAATAACCAAACTTGGTATACAGATTCTCCTGAGACCGAGAAAGGACGAGTTTGTTCATTTTTTCTGATCCACCCTCCACTCCCCCCTATTAACGATTTTCTATAGCTCCCGTAATTCTTGGAATTTTGAACTAAAATTTGATAGTCACATTATATATCCGTATACCAAGTTTCATTATGATAGAATGATCGGAAAGAAAGTTATAGCCATATAACCAGGCCCAATGCACACATACATACATATGTACAAGTACACAAACACGCATAAGGCACGATGTAAATGTATGTATGCATGCATGGAATATTTTATATTTAATTTAGTTAATTAATTAAATTAATTTAGTTAATTAAGAGTTGAGCCTGCTCGACTTTAGCATTCCTTTCTTGTTCTTATTTGTACATTACATGTTATGAAAAGAAAAAATAAAGAAATAATACTGGAACTAAATCATGAACAAGAGATTAACAGAAGAGAATTGGCGCAAATCCAAATGAAAAACCCACAAATAAACAACCTCCGATTTAACAACATACCCTTCTTCTGGTGAGCGGTTGACGACAACCTTAAATTAAAGGGGGAAGAGTTAACAGCAAATAAATTTGCATGTTGACATTAAAAAAACTTGCAAATTTACAATAAATAAAAAAAGTGCAACAGAGGAACATTGCAACACTTCATAACAAGTGCAACAAACTGCTGACTCTGCGTGTGCCTTTTTTCCTGCACGCACAGGCAATTGCATTACCAAGAACGACGCTGCCAACGCCGCTGCCGCTAAGCCATAGCTTGTTAGGTATAGATTTGATTGAAAGTTAATTCAGTCGCAAATTTACATCAGAATAAAGAACTACTCAAAAGTATTCTTTAAATTTGTTATTTTTTTCGTGATTTTAATTAATCAGAAATTAACTTATATGTATGTACATACTTGTACATATAAAACTAAGTATATAAAATAATTTGTACAATATATCTGCTTTTTCAACCCATTTTTATACTCTGTACATGAAATGTACAGAAGTATATTAGGCTTGCGGGAGCTGAAAAATGTAACAGGCAGAAGGAGGCGTGGCAGACCCCACAAAGTATATATATTCTGGATCAGCATGACGAGACGAGTCGATCTAGCCCTGTCTGTCTGTCTGTCCGTCCGTATGAACACCTGGATCTTAGAGACTATAAGAGATAGAGACACCAAATTTTGCACAAAGATGCCTTGTGTGAATACGCAGAAAATATATATTTTGGAATTTCCCTCCCTCCTCCTCTCCGCCGCAAATCGTGATTTTCTATAACTCCCGTAATTCTTGTAATTTCGAACTAAAATTTTGCAAATACCACCAGTTAGTTATTATGTGTCCGTATGCCAAGTTTCACTATGATAGACCGATTTAACAAGAATTTATAGCCATAAATATATTTGCTGCTGCAGCGCTGCTCAAGCGCTGCCCGCGGCTGTTGTTGATGTTGCTGTTTGGTTGACTGCTAACATGTGTACATAGCCACGAATAGATGCGCATAGGCATACATACAGACGCAATTGCTATGCAAATGTGCAATTATACACCCTTTATGTGAGTTCGAATACCGAGAAAGGTAAAATCGAACAACATTTTTTTTTCCAATTTTTTTAATTTTTTTTATTTTCTATAATTATTGTAAACATATGTACAGAATATTTCAAAGTCGGGACACCCGACTTTAGCTTTTTTACTTGTTTTCATGGGGGCTTTATTGGTGCACGAAAAAATGGTATATATTTATGTATGCACATACATGTATGTATGTATGTGGGTATGTAAATATGTGCAATCAACGCACAGCCCAAATGGTAAGCGTTAAAAGCGATTAACTTTACACTTGGTTTATGAATTTACACTGAGAACGAATACAAGATAAACTGCGTTGTATTTTTGTAACTTTTCATTAAAGAGTAGAAGAAATAATTATGATATACATATTGTATGTACATATCTATATATGTATACATACAAGTATGTCTGTTTGCTCATTTAAATGTTGTGCAGGGGCATAAGTTGACCAAATAACTTTGCCAAATTGTACAGCTTCTAAATCTAGAAATGACTTGCATTGATTTATCCCTTTCATACTATATACATAAATATACATACATATTTATGTACATATGTATCCACATATAACCATACATAGTATATACATATGTATGTATATGTATATTGACACAATGAAATAAATAAATACATTTTTCTGTACCTGACACACATATTCGGCATTTATCAAAGCTTTTGATAAGCTTATCGAATTTTACACAGCTAGAAACGTCTAGTTGCATTTATGTATGTATAAATGACTCATGCCATCGTACTATTTTATACTCTGTACTCAAAGAAGGCTTGGCAGACCCCACAAAGTATATATATTATGGATCAGTATTAGAACACGTGTAGATATAGGCATGTCCGTCCGTCTGTATGAAAGCAAGGATCTCAGAAAGTATAAAAGCTACAATAACCAAACTTGGTATCCAGATTCTCCTAAGTCCGAGAAAGGAAGAGTTTGTGTATTTATTCTGATGCACAACACCCAATCTCCCTCTATTAATGATTTCCCAGTTAGTGATTATGTGTCCGTATGCCAAGTTTCATCACGATAGGTCAATTATGAAGAAAGTTATAGCCATAAATGAAATCTCTGCCCAAGCTCTGCCGGCAGCTGTTGTTGTTGCTGCTTTGAATATTTAAAGGGGTAAAGGGGTATACTAGTTTAGTGTGAATATATGTAACACACAAAAGGAGGCGTGGCAGACCCCACAAATTATTATAGCCTGTACCCAAAGGGTGAAAGGCTATACTAGTTTTGTGCGCATGTATGTAACACACAGAAGGAGGCGTGGCAGACCCCACAAAGTATATATATTCTTGATCAGGATGAGAAGACGAGTCGGTATAGCCATGTCCGTCTGTCCGTCTGTCCGCCTGACCGTCTGTCCGTCTGTCTGTATGAGCGCAAGGAACTCAGTAAGTACAAGAGCTAGGATAACCAAAATTGGTATCAAGGTTCCTATAAGCCCTAGGCAGAACGAGTTTGTTTATTTTTTCTGAAACACCCCCCCACTCCCCCGCAATTCGTATTTTTTCATATAACTTCCGTAATTCTCGGAATTTAAAAATCAATTTTGGTAGGTACATCCAGTTAGTACTAATGTGTCCGTGTGCCAAATTCATCATGATAGGTCAATTCTGAAGAAAGTTATAGCCATAAGTAAAATCGCTGCTCATGCGCTGCCTGCAGCTCTGTCGGCAGCGCTGCCCGCAGCTGTTGTTGTTGTTGCTGCTTTTGTTCAACTTTGTGCTGCATACATACACGCATATAAACACGCATAGGTACGTGATGTAAATGTATGCTGTTTAAACTGAACATAAACATGTATTCTAATTTAATTTAATTAATTATTTTAATTAATTAATTAATTCTTTTTTTTAATAATTTAATTTTTTTTTAATTTTTTTTTTTTTTTTAATTTTTCCTTTTTGTGGAGAGTACAGGCTATTTTACTGTCGGGCTTGCTCGACTGTAGCGTTCTATCTTGTTTTTATTCTTGATCAGTATGACAATATGTGTCGATATTGCCATATCTGTATGACCGCAAGCATCTCAGCAAGCACAACAGCTAGAATAACCAAATATGGTATCCACATTCGGAAATGTCGGAAATAGTACGAGTTTGAGCTTTTCTCGCTTTTTAGTGATTTTCCATAACTTCCGTAACTCTCGGAATTTTGAACTCAAATTACACCCAGTTGATATGTGAGATATGTGTCCGATTGCCAAGTTTCACCATGATATGGTGGTTATGTATGTAGAAAGTTATACCTATAAATCTGTTGTTGTCGTTGCTTTGACTTAATTATGTACTGCACACATACATACACAAAAACACGCATAGACATGATGCAAATTATTCTATTGAAACATACATATTTATGTAGTACTATGTATGTTTCTAGAATTAAAAGATGTACAATTTGGCAAAGTTATTTGGGCAACTTTAACTGCACAACATCTAAATGAGCATATGAGCATACTTACATTATAATAAATATTTCTTCAATTACATTTTCCAAAAACGTACTATGCAGTTTATCTGGTATTCTTTCTAGGGAAATAAACTAAGTTTAAATTTAATCAGGGCTCGAATTTTCCAAATAAATAAATACATACATATATATTTTTGTCCTATACGTAGTACATGTTTGTACCTGACGCACATATTTGGCATTTATCAAAGATTGTGATAAGCTTATCGAATTTTACACAGCTTGAAGCGTGCTAGTTCATCTATTAATGACTCATGTCTGAACTTCTGTTTTTTTCGTTCACATACCAGTTCATATGTAAAACAAGATATGTTGCGACGTGCTCAATTCTTTCAAACTATAAACATATGTATGTATATATAATAGACACACACGATCCACCTGTGTAAAAAACACTTTTTTATGGCTTTAACATATTTTAAAGATCTTGTTTTACTATTCAAGGGTGCTATGCGTATTCAACCCAAAGCAGCAGAATCTGGTAGAATTATGAGAGAGAAATAAATAGAAACTGTTCCTTTCACAGAATTAGATGAATCTGAGTATTAAGGTTGACGGCTCTACCGTTACATTTTCGAGATCATTACGTTTACTGTGTACAAAAAGACGGATGGATAGAGATATGGACAGACGTACGTAAATACTTTTCATCTATGTACAAAGTACATTTGTCGAGCAGATCAAGAATATACGTACATACATATGTATGTGGGATCTGCCACGCCTCCTTGGTGCAAATTATTAAAATAAAATAATTTTTAAGATATTTGTTTATGAAGAATTTACGTACCAAACTAAATTACAAATGATTTCGGTTTACGGAACAATCTTCAAATTAAAGTATACACATATGTACATACATATGAATGCATATGCGCATGAACTTAGGTGTCAACACAATTTAACAACGACCAGCTCGCTATGCAGCCCCACTCACAACTAAATTTTATGTTATCAGAGGTACGAAAAACAATACTAATTTTGTTAGAGGGTTTGTAAAATAGTTATAGTTTACCATAAGATAAGTTAACGATAAGATAAACTCTGAATAACGCACGAAAGAAGTTGTTGTCATAATTGTATTAAAATACCTGTGTACTTTCGGTCATTAATAATTTTGCTTATGGCAGGAATCCCAATTGTTATTAAGTATTAATTATTAAGTACTAGTTTCCCGCTCCTGCTTCGCACGGGTATTTTACAAAATTTTAAAAATTATAAATTTAATAACACTTTTACATATACACCATTCCTTTTGCTATGTATTTCTAAAAGAAACAAAATTATAAACAAAGTTCGGATATTATTATTTTGATGATTTTTTTTGTTATTCTTTTATGAGTCGGAGCTTCTCTGTAAACCATATTTCATGTAGTTTAATGTTACGGTAGCAAAATATATTGATTTTCAAGAGCTCCGACCCGCGATAGGCCAACATACAGTTGAGTAAAACATTTCTTTCGTAGGTCGATCCCTTCTAACTCGAAGGTTGGCCTTGGGACTTCTTAATACTTAGTTAACGCCAAACATTCGATTCTTTAATTTATTATTTTTTGTTTTAATACTTATTCTGCTATTCGTGACACGGGTCAGCTAGCAAGATAAAAAAAAAGAAAAATTATAAAACATTTAAAATTTCTATAATAGTCATTAAAAAATCACAATAAAAATAACAATTTCTGATTTTTTATTTTGATACCTACTTATTAATGAACATACAACTGCAAATAATATTACAAATCTTCAAATTTGGCATGAAATTTTCCCTAGTAGTCTTTTGTTGCTCCAAATGAAGTCATTTGAAATCAATCGTTGTACTGGTATTGTTGAATATTGGAATATTCTTTAAAAAGTGTATGGAATCTGTCTCTTTTCCTAAAATCAATGAGTACAATGGCTCTGAAGTTGGATGCGAAGGTATCAATTTCACTTTACCATTTGCGCAACACAATCCATTTTGTATTTCAATGCCTTACAATATTCACAAACTGAGTTCAGAAGTCCAATAGCAACACAGTTGTAGGCACTGTAATCAATTGACACATCGTAACAGAAAGCAGCTCGATTCAAACTTGCACCATTATTCGTCGAATGTTTCACTTCACGGCCGTGTACGGGTCTGTCTTAACCGTATTCTTTCACATTCATTGCGATCTTCACGTTCCTGGGCAGTACGATTAGATTGATAATTAATTAGATTCGTTGCATTTCGTCTTCTTATGACTAAATTTCTCTGCCGCCTTATAGGGGGCATATTTAGTAAGACACAAACACACAACACTTTTTTAGAATTTTATATTCAAATTTTTTGCCTTTAGGATGATGAACTAACAGCATACTGTTCAGGAATTTTTAAAATTATTTTGTCCACCTTTGGTTACATTATTGGCTTGGCGTTGACGTTTTCAGGCAATGTTTTAAATTTTTCTCTCCGCCCGAACCATCCTTGTACTTCAAGGAATATTATAAACAAGTAAAAAAGCTAAAGTCGGGTGTCCCGACTTTGAAATTCTCTGTACATATGTTTACAATAATTATAGAAAATAAAAAAAAAATTAGGAAAATAAAAAAAAAAATTGATATATTTTACCTCTTTTGGTATTCGAACTCACGTAAAGGGTGTATAATTGCACATTTACATATCAATTGCGTCTGTGTGAGTGTATGTATGCCTATGCGCATCTATTCGTGTCTGTGTAAACATATGTGCAGTCAACCAAAGCACCAGCATCAACAACAGCCGCGGGCAGCGCTTGGGCAGCGCTTGAGCAGCGCTGCAGCAGCAAATATATTTACGGCTATAACTTCTTGTTAAATCGGTCTATCATAGTGAAACTTGACATACGGACACATAATAACTAACTGGGGGTATTTGCAAAATTTTAGTTCGAAATTCCAAGAGTTACGGGAGTTAGAGAATTGCATGGGAGAGGGGGGAGGGAGGGAAATTCCAAAATATACATTTCTATTCACACAAGGCATCTTGGACTAAAATTTGGTGTTCCTAGGTCTTATAGTCTCCGAGATATAGGCGATTATACGAATGGAATATCGGGAAAATCCCCATAGGGGGGAAGTGGGGGGAAAATCAAAAAAATAAAGCAAACTCGTATAGCGTACACACATAAGGCATCTTTGTGCAAAATTTGGTGTCTCTAGCTCTTATAGTCTCTGAGATCTAGGTGATCATACGGACGGACGGACGGACAGACGGACAGACAGACAGACAGACAGGGCTAGATCGACTCGTCTCGTCATGCTGATCAAGAATATATATACTTTGTGAGGTCTGCCACGCTTCCTTCTGCCTGTTACATTTTTCAGCTCGCGCAAACCTAATATACTCTTGTACATTTCATGTACAGAGTATAAAAAAGAATTAGCGAAATCGGTTAAGCTGCTCTCGAGATTTACGCTTAGCAACACATTCAGCGTTCCATTTTTATATTATAGACTAGCAGTCTAGCCCGTCTCTGCTGGGTTAAGTAAAATGAGCTTATAATTATAAGTTTATTCACTATATGATATTCTTCTTTCGACGCTCTCTAAAGATTTTTAAAGAGTTCATTATCCAAATAGCAAATATAGTACAATAAGTACTATGTATGGTTATACGTACATACATACATGTGTACATATCTTCGTTAGGCACCGGGCGGACTCCCAGTCCTGACTTAGCTGTGTGCTTCCTCAGCACGTTGTACACACGGTCGAGTTATCCCCGAAAAGTCCGACGCGGGACATTTAATTTTGATTTATAAATCGGGACGTTCCGCAAAAATTGGAGCGTTCGGCAACGCTGATATGTACATACATTTAAATTTTTCATGCAGGCGTTATCCGCCTATATACATACATGTTTGTACCTGACACACATATTTGGCATTTATCAAAGATTGTGATAAACTTATCGAATTTTACACAGCTTGAAGCGTGCTAGTTCATCTATTAATTACTCGTGTCTGAACTTCTGTTTTTTTCGTTCACATACCAGTTCATATGTAAAACAAGATATGTTGCGACGTGCTCAATTCTTTCAAACTATAAACATATGTATGTATATATAATAGACACACACGATCCACCTGTGTAAAAAACACTTTTTTATGGCTTTAACATATTTTAAAGATCTTGTTTTACTATTCAAGGGTGCTATGCGTATTCAACCCAAAGCAGCAGAATCTGGTAGAATTATGAGAGAGAAATAATAGAAACTGTTCCTTTCACAGAATTAGATGAATCTGAGTATTAAGGTTGACGGCTCTACCGTTACATTTTCGAGATCATTACGTTTACTGTGTACAAAAAGTACATATATAAAACAGTTTGTCCTGACTGACTGACTGACTGATTGGTAATCAACGCACAGCCCAAACGGTAAAGGCTAGGAAGCTAAAATTTGAACTCAAGTATCCTTTCATTGTCTAGGTGCCCAATAAGAAGGGATTTTGGAAAACCCGAGCTCCAAAGGGGGGAAAACAGGCTCCAACGTTTGTATGAAAAATCTACAGTTTTCATCTGATTAATTTCAAACTTAGTTTCTGAAATCAATAAAAGAATACAAAGAAAACTGCATACTCGGTTTTTTAAATTTTTTGTTGGAGCTTGAATTATTGGGGGCACAAAAGGAAACCGCGTCAACAGCCCACAGCCCAAACGGTAAGAGCTAGAAAGCTGAAATTTGGGGTCAAGTATCCTATCATAGTGTAGGTGCGCACTAAGGAGGGATTTTGGAAAATTCGAGCTCCAAAGGGGGGAAAAGTAGTTCCAAAGTTTGTTTGAAAAATTCGCATTTTTCAACCAATCGACTTAAAACTTAGTTTCTAAAATCAATTACAGAATACAAACAAAACTGCATACTTAGATTTTCGAATTTCGATTTGTGTTGGGGCTTGAATAATTGGGGTTTCAATATTTATTCACTATTTCAAATGAAAAGATTTTGTTATAAATTTAGTCCGATCGATTTAAAATTTGGGTAATGTAATCTACGTAACTAAAAATACAACTTTGCATTCATGGATTTTCAAAATATGCATTTTACAAAAGCAGGCAGAACAAACAATACAAAATATCAAACAGTTGGGGACAACTAAGTATGCATACACACACACACACACACACACATGCAAGCAGCTGTTCGTGTAGTTGCGTGCAAACGATTGAAATAGCCAAAGCAAAATGTGAGACACTAATGTGTGAATGTCCATACATATGTGCACATCTATGTATGTACATATGTACATTCGTCTTGCACTGACAGAGCAAGAAATGTTAATTAATTGAAAATTATATAACATTTTTAAAAGTAATTTTTTCTTTGTTTAGTGCATTTGGCATTAGGGTTTTCATTAATAACTTTATGCAGCAACAACAAATATCAAATAGTTGGGGACATCACATACACACACTCACACACACAACAAGCAACAGTTCGTGTCTATGTGTGCGGTTCTCTACATACGGTTGAAAAAGTAAAGAGAAACATATGTACATATGTATGTATGTATGCCTGTGTATGAATATAGCATGTACATATGTACATTCGTATTAATGTATACATTGGGAAATCGAACACAGTTGTTTGATTGTAAAAAAAATAATGCTCTAAAAACAAACAACAACAACAACTGCAAGTAATTGGCTCGCTCTTCTTCTTTCGTTTTGACCATTTTACAATTAACAGGTAAAGGCAAAACGCCAAAAGTTTACAGTTACCGTCGCTAGGCAACGACTGCGTAAGCGATAGTAAAGCAGAAACCGAATAACGGAGCTACGCATATTCTGCTTCGCATTGCGGGCAGATGTACAAGTATGTATGTATATGATTTGTTCTTATTGATGTCAATAAATAATTAGATTTTGTTATTTAAATATTCTGCTTATTGCATTCAAATTTCGATATTTTGATGGTAT